AGCAGAATTTATTCAGAGGACACCAAAGCTCCCAAAGTGGGAGGGGACCCAAAGGGGGTTGCCACCATTTTATTTTTCACAACTACCTGTCGCCCTTGTAACCTCACTTCTGTAAGTAGCCAGCCCTCAATCACAAGAATGCATGTATGTAGCTTGGATGTATAAAGGTTATGATGAGCAGGCTTCTATCTGACTGGGAAGCTCCATACTCAAGAGTTGTAATCTAACCTCAGATCGGGGCCCTGGAACCATATGCCTCCCTTAGAGAGGCAACCTTCTCAGAATGGTTCCTGGCACCTCCTTTCCTAATTCCTCCCAACACAGCTTATGAAGATGGCCAGGCTATGAATCACAGTATTGAACATCCTTACACTGTCTTCTCTAACTCCTCCTCTCCTGTTCCAAAGGAGACACCTATATTAGGAAGATGTGAGCCTCCACAGAGATAAGCTAAGTTGAGAAGCAGGAAGAATGAGCCGCCAACCTTTTTGTGATTTGTGAATCAGAAGCTGGGTTTTCTCCAAAGGATGTATGTGTGCTTGCAGATAAGCCTTCATGTGTTCTTAATACCCTGGACTGCCAAATCTTTCTGGAGAACCACCCCCACTTCACGTACCCATGTGCGTGTGCATGTACGCGCGCGCGCACACACACACACACACACCCCTCCTATATGGGGCCTGCCCACCAGATAGATATTGTGAGGATAGTCAGGGAAGCAAGCTAAAATTCCCCTAGCCAAATGTCACTTCTGCAGTTGACCCAGGTTCCCTGCACAGGGCTTGTTTGCTCTACACCGTAGCTGGGATGAACCTGTGGTTTCGAGTTGAAACCCTCCACTCCTAATCATCTGAATGGATCATCTCTCAACCATTGTTAGTTAACAGGTCTCAAGTCCTTCCCATTCCACAGGGACTTACTGAACACCTATTGATGCCTAGCACCACACTGGGCACTGTGAAGCATTTCCTTTAAGGACCAACCACTCTAAGGATACAAACATAGGCAGGAACTATGTCCTAATCTGTCATGCTGTGGAAGTCATCCATGCTAGCAAGCATACATTTCAGGGTTAAGTATCTAAAGGCTAAACATCTTTAAAATCTGATCTGCAAGTCTTACAAAACCTCCAAACACCTATATGTCATAATTCTACAAAGTCCCATCATTTCCTCACTGATATGATAAAAGGTTGTCATCAGTTGCTGTCCACATAGATATCCCATTAGGACTACTTCTGATCCAGAAAAATAAAATGGGAACCCAAGTCAGTATATTCACACCTTAGGCAAGGATGGCACAGGGCTGAAAGTCACAGAATCTGGTACTCAATATCATGTCACATTGGCCTCTCTTCATGTTAACTACATAGGTGTGCTGGCTAGAAGTTTTTTCTAATTAAATGCTGTACAGAGGGGCAGAGACAGGCATGGGGCACTGGCCCCACCCCCAGCCCTACCAAGAAGATCCATGTACAGCTATGGGAAGTCTTCTGGCTCTTCTCTGATGTTTAGCATAGTGCCAAATATGCTTGTGTTGGCTGGATTAGTAAATAATGAAATAGGAACTTAAATCTGATGAGAGAGAGAAAGAGGAAGAAGAAAAAGAGGAGGAGGAAGAGGAAGAAGAAAAAGAAGAAAGGGAGGGGGAGAAGGAAGGAGGAAAGGAAGGTATATCATGTCTTCCTTAAAAGAACATGAACCCTCAAAACCAATGTGGGCAGTTTGAAGATTATTAGCTCTTTGGGGTCAACTGCACTTGAGGTTCCCAAACTTTAGAATTCCATAGAGAAGTAATGCCTCCCTTTGAAAATGTGACAGCTGTTACACAATTGCCAAATTTTCATTTTGAAATGAAAGTCTTGTGTCATGGTTACTTTTCAAAGAAATGATATTTTAACACATGAAAAATTAGGAAGGCCATGATTTCAGAACTGAGACTTTCCTTCCCAAGAATGTCCTGCTGACATCCTTTTACTTACACTTTTCCTAAGGAGCAACAATGGGCCAACAAAAGCTCACAGAGCAGTGCTGGGAACCATAATCCATACCTGCTCCCCTTCTACAGTGTGACCCAACTAAGTAAAACTATTCTTTTTAACAGCCACAGCAATCACTAGTTGGAGCCTGTTTCCCTTCAGAATCTCCATGAAGCCTCAGCTTCAAGCTAAGAATCCTGCCCTCTCCAAAAGGTCTTAACTTCTCCCGCCTGGACATTCTCTAAGGAGGAATCACCTGCGTTCCTCCTGGGTTCACCGGGGGCTCATGCTATCCAAACTGAAACTGGTGCCACAAGTTTCTGAATCAGGATCATTTGGATCATTAGAAGTACACCATAATTAACAGTCAATTTTTTACTGGAGCTGCCATTTCAACACAGCTCTGGGCAGAACAAAGTTCGAATGTGGTATCTTAAACAACAGCAACTGAGTTCCGGTGATGAAAGAGAGAGAAGCCTGCTTCGTATGCAGAGGTGATGCTACTGGTCTGAGGACAACAAGGAAGTTTTGAGTTATTCTCCTAGGAGAAGAACTGAGCTTGCTCAAGCCCTCCATGGACTCCTTCGTGGCCTTGGTGTCCACATGAAGGCCAGGTAGGAAGCAAGCAGGCGCTGCTACATGAGCAAACACCAAAAAAGAGAACATCACCTTCCACACTTTATGTAACTATTCCCTCTTCACATGCCTGCGAAATAGTGTATAACCATTCCTATTTGATGGACAAGGTAACTAAGGGTCAGAATGCTTGATCATTCCACAGTCAACAAATACTGAGTGCCTGCCATGTGCAGACACTGCACTAAGTGCTATGACTCTGCCCAAGGTGACACAGCTGGCAAGTAGCAAAAGGAGCACCCAACCCCAGCCATCTAACCTCAAGTCTATTCCATTCCATGGCTACCCCTCAGGCTGAGATCAGTGTTGCCAAAAAAAGCACCACAGAACACCAAAGACAAAGGGTCAAGGTAGGAAAGACCACATGCCACGTGGTCCATCTCTTTAGTTTGCTCCTCTACAAGGAAAGTCAGTATCGATGATCTTTCCCAGACTGTCTCAGATACCTGCTGTCTCCAGGGACAAATTAAAGTAGCCACCAATGTCACATTAATTACAGCACAGTTCATGGTGTACAGTCCGGAACTGAGCACTGGAGAGCTCATGCATTCTCACAACACGGTGGGCAGAACAGGAACACCTCAGCAAAGCCCACGTAAAACCCCAGAAGAGAAATTTTTGGCAAAAAGAAGAGCAGGTTCTAAAGTTCTGAGTTTCCAGCGCAATGTGATTAGAAGCCAGTGGGATTTGGAAGGTTCTACTCCTTGGACAAAGAACTGAGGTCTCTAGTGTGATTCTTAGGCCACCTCAGGAGGCTGGGACTTATTCCTCAAGCACAGCCCTGTGGACACTTGGCATGTGTCCCACGCCAGAGGTTTTGGAAAAAATGTCTGCCATCCACTCTAGCTGGCCATCCCCATAGAGCAGCCTGCCACACTGTTGCATCAGAGAAGGGGCCAGTCATACATTAGGCCACCTATCTCAAGAATGTCAAAATCTTCATGAATGGGTCATCACTATGCCTGCAATCATAGAGAGGTGGGGTCAACAGCCATAGGTCACGTCGTTAAGGATAAACACGAGCACTTGGCCTGGATCAATAGATGAGTCAGCGCTCAAGAGCTCAGTACTCCTCATATATAAGCTCAAGAGCTCCGTGCTCCTCACATCACCAGCATCTTCCCTCCTCACTCACCCTTCCTGGTGCTTTGGGTAAGTGTGGGTTTTACTGGTCATCTTGTCTTTCCAGCTGGTCTTGCCCAGGCTTGCATAGGTTAGGTGGACCAGGGCCTCTCTCCTCTTTGGGAGCTATAAGACCCCTGCCTTCCAACTGCACTCACGTTTAGAGGAGATTCAGGAAAGGGGAGGGGAACTGAGTTGCCGCCATGCAGATGGTGTTTCTGGCCAGATGTAAACACCACAAAGGCAAGACTATATCTCCTGTCTTTCTGGCACCCACAGAGGAGCAGGCATGGTGCTGAGCATGGGGACTCTGCAGAAGCTATCCAAGACAGCTTGTGCAAGGGCTGAAAGGACCTTGAGAGCCTGCAGGAGGAGAGGCTGAGCCCACTTTCAGAGAGAAAATGATTTCGAGAAAGTTGCAGATGGAAGGGATTTTAGGAGCCACAGAAACCCAACTCCTGTTCTATGGAGCTAGAAGTATTGGGAGGGAGATGTCTTTTGAGATGCTGGGATACAACTTCTTACTAGGTAGAGTCCCCTCCACCAAGGTTGGGCTTATGAAAATCTTAAAAGAGGTGGCTGATATCTTCTGGTCAGCGATGCTGGTCCAAAGAACCTTTCCCATTTTCAGATAGGACCATGACAGAGCCTGTTTTTTCTAATAACTAGTCCTTGGATCATGGCCTAGCTCAATGCAACAGACCAAAAGTCTGAACAAAAGGGCTACTGCAGAGAATGTATGCAAGAGCCCTCAAGAGAATGGAGTGCAACAAATTTCCATGTTGTACTGGGAGTGCGTAAGATTCCACCACCCTAGGTAGAGGTTTGTGGTTATTTTCGATTTGCACTCCCAGGAAGAGACCTGAGAGAGGAAGTGTTCAGAACCTCTCATTTTACAGAGAATGAGAAAAAGGTGGGAGTGTGGGTGACCTGCTCCAACTCAAACAACAGACGCCAGAGGCAGAGTTCGGAGAAAGAGGGAATGGGCACCACTGACTGGGCTATTTAAAGCTTGGTGAAGACTTTCTGTGGGGAGGAGGGGGGCGCCCCAACTCTTTTCCGAAAAGAAGCAAGCAATCCTAGGAGTCTCCGCTGAGAACTCTCTGGGGCCCTAATGGAGCAGGATCATAGGTTCTGGTCCAGGCAGGCTGCCAGGAGGATGATGGACATTGCCATGGATACAGCTGCTCCACCGCATCCTCTTGCCGCTGGTCCAATGATGCTCTCTTCTCTCCTTCCAGGATCCCTATCCTCCTTAGACAAGATGTCTCACCAAAGAAAGCAACCCACCCCACAACCCCCAGTGGGCTGCGGGAAGACCTCTGGTGGCGGCGGTGGCGGTGGCGGCGGCGGCGGTGGCGGCTGCGGCTTCTTTAGCAGCGGTGGCG